CACATGCCCAGGTTGCAGGCTAGGTTCCCAATAAGGGGTGTGCGGGAGGCAGCCGATTGATGTTTCTCTCTCCTTCTCTCCCTCTCCCTTCCTCTTTCTCTAAAAATCAATTCAAAAACCAATTAAAAAATCTGTTGTACAAGTACATGAGCAGACTAACAGAGTTCCTATGAAAATTCTGGGAGTCAAATCAGATTCTCTCCCAAGGTACTTTCTAGCTCTAGCACTCAGCGAATAGGTGCCAATGAATAGCTATTTATTAGGAAAAGAGATAAAGTTAGCCATTCATCTTGGGAATGTATTTTATGTGAGCATTCTACTTTACTCAGAAGAGTTCCTGTACTTCAGTGACACAGCAACTGGGGCAAAATCTTAACAACAGGTGAATCTTAATAAAGGACATATGGATGGTGCCTTGTACTATTTTTATTTTTGCAACTCTACTCAATTACCATGAAATAGTCCTCTCTTAGGCTTAAAATATTAGGGGTTGACTCTGACACTCCTTACCTGCGTAGTGATGAGTTCTTGGGGGAAACTCTAGGATTGGATTCGGCATCACCCTCTAGGGCCTGCCTCCCCCGTCCACTTTAATTAAGACAAGTTCATTCATAAATAGTGCTGGGTCTTCTCCTATCTGCAGTGTCCTCACCCATCTCCATGCCTCTGTCCTCTCGATACTGACTAAAGTGAACCTCAATGCTTGCTTGTTTGTTTTTAATTCACATTGCAACCCTTGCCTCAAACCTCTCCGTGATCCTAATTGCCATATCAACTTGAGCTGCCAGAGCCTCGGCCAGGTCCTTCTCAAGGGGGGGAAAGAGAGAGGTGGGGGGCATTTCTCTCCCTGGCCCCTGCAGGCAAGAAGGGAGTGCACTGTCTGTCAAGTACTTTAAAGCAATAATAAGAGCAACTAAAAGTCTTTCTGCTTTCTCTTATCACCAAGCACTGGAGATTGACTCTAAACAGCCTAAGTGCTAAGATACTCCTTCCAACCCCTGGGGACAGCTCCTACCATCACTCCTTAATACGGCACAGGTATGGGCTGCCTCTCCCATCTCTGCCCAAGTCTTTTATCCAATAGCTTTTCTTTTCCTTAAAACATTAAATTTTAAAAACCTAAGGGCACTCAGTGTATTTTCTATAGTACTTGTGATTGTGAAGTACATCACTTCAATAGGTAAGTTCAAGTGTAATTTCACAGGATGCCTCATTGTAAGTAAAACCAAGTAGAGTCCATTTATATAATCCGACCAACTACAATTTAGTTTTAAAACGAATTTTCAAACAACAATAATGTAAACAAGTGGCTCACAGCCATAACCACATGCCTAAAGGCTGGAAAATCTGCCAAGATTTATGGAACCAGACTCAGCAGAATAGACAAGGCAGACAAGGCTGACAGGACTGTAGTTCTTTTGGCTGCTCTGACACCCTTGAGTCACTCTGAGGCCCAAATCATCGTAGTCACTATGAGAGAAAGATCTAACACAGCAGAAGAAAGGCACAGAGAGTGATACTAAAAGAAGGGGTCCACTGAGCCTCGGCCCATCTGGTTGAGGACCATGTTTGCATCACAGGCAATGCAGCGGCTGGGTGGGAAGTCAGCAGAAGACCGACACTCTACTTGGCACCTCCCCGTGCAAAAGCTACAACCCTCAGCTGTTAATAAGAAACGCCCCTTGATTCTATCAAATGACCGGGAATGGCTTTCTAACTAGGGTACGTAGGTTAACTGAGGATGGGCTATATATTATAAAACTGATCATCAGAGAGTACAGAACCCAAAAAAGTTCAAATTACATCCTATGTTACAAACTGGTGATTAAGGAAAACAAAATGCATACATATGCATGTGTGAAGACAGAGTCTGGATTGTCACTGTTTTAATAGTTCTTCCAATGCACAGATAGATATGTCACTGTAGCAGAAATGAAACCTATAAGAATAACTACTAATTTGCTGCACCCTAATAAAAATCGCCATGATTGGTTAAGCTGTAAAATACATCTAAATCCTACAAAACACTCATAGAATTTATCTAGAGAAAGCTGCGAAATTTACACTACAACTAGAACAAAGGATACAAATTCCAAAGATTATTCAGAACTCAAGGCACTCAAATGTCCAACATACCATTCTGATATAGAACTAGAAACTTGCCACCGAAGGCTGGGCTCTTGGGTTTCAAAGAGGAGCATTCGGTCTACCAAGAACTAGTCTAAAGACCTGCAGACTGTCCCCAGGGCTTCATCACCCAAAAACCAAGGGAAAGGGGGGGAATATATATTTTTTAAAACCAAGATTGTATAGAAAAATCAGAATAAGCCTTATCAGAAAAACAGTATTGTCTAACTGAAAGAAATGAGATTAAACTGTATAAATGAAATATATAGAAATCTACATAGCAGTTAACTCGATAATGACGTTTAACACTTGAAATATGAAATACCGGAAACAAGCAAAACCACTACCATGGATATCACCCTCCACCAATGGCAGTGTTATGGGTCTCCCTAGCTACCTGGCCCACTTTGTGGCAAACAGACAACTCACTTACCATCTATCTGAAGCTAGGAGAGTCTTTGTAATCACGCTGAAGTGAGATACTTTGATGGAGATTAGGACGTCGGTATTAATTGCAGCCAATAAAACATAAATGCAACGTAGACAACACCTAATTATAATTACCTCCAGTAATGATTAAAATAGCCACCTATTATCACTGCTGGCCATTAAGGAAAACTAAACGTGTTCATGCGTATACAACAACAAATGTTGGGTTACCAATATATATATTTTAAATACCGCCAATGGCAAATAGATTTACTGCCTCATAGCAGAAATAAAAAGTAACGGTAAGTTCTTAATAATTTAGTAGCTGACTGCACCCTCACCTAAAATCGCTCTTACTGGTTAAACCGAAAAAAAAAAACAAAAAACTAAACCCAACAGGATAACTTTTAAGTCTTTTGTGTGAAGACAGAGAGTCAGGCCAGGAAAACAAGGGATTATAACTGCGGAATAGTGACAACTGGCTTTCGGTGTCATTATCACCCCGAGTCTAAACGCACTGAAAAGAAAAAAAAAAAGTTAATTCCACGACAAAGGCCAGGAGGCGGCCAAGGCCCCGCAGGGTCGAGGGGACTCCGCCGGGAACCCTCTGCTTTGGGGGGCCTGTTGGGAAGAACCTGGAAGAGCTACGTGGGTCCCACAAAGGCGGGCAGCGTGGGCTGGGAGCTGAATGGAGGAGACGCTTCCAGCTTCCCGAGGAATGTGAAGTATTTCCCCGAAACCCGCGTGGGGTGTGCACGCGCGCGGCCACGCACACGCACCGCCAGCATTCACTGAGGACGAAGCCGTCGGGGTTCAGCGAGCGATGGGCGGCTGGTCGCCTTTCCCACGCGTTAGGTCCAGACCGAAGCGCCCCGCTCGTCGGCGACCCCGGCGGGCCGACCCCCGCCCTCCCCTCCCCCTG